ATTGGATATGAGAAATGAAGTGAGTCTAGAGCGGAAGTTGTCCAGACAGTGTAGTCGTCTACATGATTGTATTTTGGTGGCTGCAAACAGTGCTCACACACGAGTGTAGCTGTGGTCGCTGTAGTAAACACCAGTAGGTTTAGCTTGCTCTAAACCCTAGGGCTCAGTTCACAGTCGATCACAGGGTTCAGGGTTTAGGGGTTATCCTTCTTCATCCACCAAGTGTGTGCGCTACACAGAGGCAATACATGCGTGAGCGTGGTGTGGTGAGTCTTCGAGCTCCTGCGAGAACATTGAGTGTCCGGCACGCACACTCCACGTGCCGCCCGCAACACATAGTACTGCGCCTTCTGAACCCAAACCCTAAACCCTAAACCCCAAACCTTAAAACCCTAAATCCCTGAAAGCCTAAAACCTTGAAAGCCTAATACCTGCATGGCTTGGTCTGTACGCGTGTGCATGGTGTGTGTATGCAGCTGTTTAAGGGATCGACAGGCCGACTGCGAGAGACGCCCGGCAAAGGCTACAGCACACAGAGTGTGGTGGACGCCATTCTGATTCACTTTTGCAGTGACAATAAGGAGATCCGCATGCTAGCCGTCAAGTGCTTCCTGCGTTTCAGTGAGACCTACAACTATCTCGAGTATGTTTTAGCTACTTATAACTACCTCGAGTATGTTCAACGTACTACTAGCTCGACTATGTTCTACCTACAACTACCTCGAGTATGTTCTACCTACAACTATCTCGAGTATGTTTTAGCTACTTAACACTACTAACAACTACCTCGAGTATGTTCTACCTACAACTATCTTGAGTATGTTTTACCTACAACTATCTTGAGTATGTTTTACCTACAACTACTTCGAGTATGTTCAACCTACAACTATCTTGAGTATGTTCTACCTACAACCTACAACTATCTTGAGTATGTTCTACCTACAACCTACAACTATCTTGAATATGTTCTACCTATAACTACCTCGAGTATGTTCTACCTACAACTAACTCGAGTATGTTCTACCTATAACTATCTCGAGTATGTTTTACCTACAACTACCTGGAGTATGTTCTAGCTACTACTACCTCGAGTATGTTCTACCTACCACTACCTCGAGTATGTTGTGGTGCCTCAGTTGTCGTCCCTGCCCCTCTACTGTAATGCGTATGCAAAGATAGCTGCGAACCCAACATAGTTGTGCACACGCAGAGGGACATATGCTTGTGCGAGTACTCTCGGTTAGCGCTATAACGACCTTTTCGTGTGCTATCAGCTGTATGTAGTTCTATGTCTATATAGGTATCTGTGTTTCAGATTCAACTTAAAACATATCACAACCTCAAACGTGACATGGTGTCATTCCTAGTGGCTACGCTACGTACTTGAAAGCAAACACGCAATGCGTCCTCTTCTTAAGGAGTCTATGTACACTTATACGAACATCTGCACAGGTGCGTCAGTGGTTTATTCTACCGTCATAGTCTATGTACACATATATGAACATGAGCACAGATGTGTCAAGCCTTTGGCACTGCACGTGTTCCGTTCCTGAGCTTCGCAAATCACTTGCCATACGTAATCATAGATGTGTGTACGCATCAAAGGGGACTTGACACCATGACCACACGCCTCAGTCTTCTCCTATGCCTACCACACACACTGTACGGGACTGTACGGGATAGTAGAACCTCCCACTCTTATAGTAGAGAGAGTCCTCATACTCTTATAGTAGAGAAAGTGGGGCCATCGTAGAGGATAGGAGGGCACCTGCCGCCATTCACATATATCTCATACCTCTCTCCTCCTTCATTCTCCTTCATTCTTCAGTGGTTTTATCTTTTATTCTCCTTCATTCTTCAGTGGTTTTATCTTTCACTCTCTTTCATTCTTCAGTGGTTTTATCTTTCATTCTCCTTCATTCTTCAGTGGTTTTTTTATCTTTCATTCTCCTTCATTCTTCAGTGGTTTTATACTTCATTCTCCTTCATTCTTCAGTGGTTTTATCTTCCATTCTCCTTCATTCTTCAGTGGTTTTATCTTTTATCCTCCTATCGTTCTTCTGTGGTTTTATCCTTCTAACGCTCTTCCGTGGTTTTATCCTCCTAACGTTCTTCCGTGTTTTCTTCTTCTCCCCTTGTCAGCGTGCACTTGTACATCCAGACGTTCTTGCTCAACGCCACCTTCAAGGTGTTCCTGGATCAGCATGGGTTGTGGATGCCCCAGGTCATTGCGTATGTCTAGTGTGTCCTAAGAGATGTGAGCGGCAGTTTCTAATGGTCTTTTGACCGTCACATACGTTTCTCCTGTGCATATGCAGTGGTTAGTATTTTTAGTGTTGGGTTGTTCTATGTGATTGCAATTAGTATGCTCGGCAAGGCTCACAATCCTACCAACTATTCTCACTTAACCAAATTGGGTACTCCTTCTTATCCCCATCCCATTCTTTATAGTGAAATAGCTACCATCACAGACGACAGCGTTAACCGGTCGGTGCTTGGCCTCATGTTCCGAACATACGACACACTGCACCTGATGGGCTATACCTTTGACACAGATGTAAGTAGACTGTCTGTGTGTGTGATACCTTTGACACAGATGTAAGTAGACTGTGTGTGTGTGTACCTTTGACACAGACGTAAGTAGACTGTGTGTGTGTGTGATACCTTGGACACAGATGTAAGTAGACGGTGTGTGTGTGTACATACATGCAGTTATCGCCTACAGTGTCTTGTGTTCTTGACTGCGTTTGATGGGCTATTTAGGGTTTAGGGTTTTAGGGTCGTTTGACACCAATGTATATCGTATGTGCGTGTGCGCATACAGTGTCTTGTGCTATCGCATGTGTACAAGGATATCTGCACGCATACCACCTGCACCTGTGCCTATGCCACGGGTGAGCACTTGTTTGGGTTGCGTGTGCGTATGGTTGTTGCTATGTGAGTGGTATGGGTCTTGCAAGTCATGTGTGTGCCTGCACCTGTACCTGTGCCACGGGTGAGCACTTGTTTGGGTTGCGTGTGCGTATGGTTGTTACTAAGTGAGTGGTATCGGACTTGCAAGTCATGTGTGTACCTGCACTCCCTAGTGCATGTCTTGTGGCGTGTGTGAGGGGTCAGGTGTGTGGCAGTGGCTGCTGTGTGTTTGTGTTTGAGGTTGTTGAGTGTGACTATGTCTGATATGTTGTGCTGACTGTTGTGCTTGAGTGTCTGATGGGTCAGTCGGCCTGTGCATTTGGCACTACAATCCATGTTCTATTTATAGATGCTAAATCCATGCCAATCTCATCATCATTCACCCCATGTTCTATTTATAGATGCTGAATCCATGCCAATCTCCTCTTTATCCACCCCATGTTCTATTTATAGATGCCAAATCCATGCCAATCTCATCATCATCCACCCCATGTTCTATTTATAGATGCTAAATCCATGCCAATCTCCTCATCATCCACCCCATGTTCTATTTATAGATGCTGAATCCATGCCAATCTTCTCATCATCCACTCCATGTTCTATTTATAGATGCTGAATCTGGAGAAGCATGTCGAGGCGCAGCTGATCAAAATGGACGACGCTGACGAATTGCCGTCAGACGATGCGGTGGGGTCAGTGCTCACAGACGACGACAGCTACACCACACTCCAAGGTATCCGCACGGGGGTATGGGCTGCTGGGGTGGGTGTGTCCTAAACCCTAAAAACCCTAAACCCTAATGCGTGACTTGTCTTTGTGTGTATTTGTGTCTAGGCAGCCGCTTGAGCTTTGTCTTTTTTTCTCACTATTTATGGTATGTGGTCGGATTCCCTTGTCGTTTTCTCACTACTTATAGTATGTGATGTGATGGGGGTCTTTAGTCGTAGTTCCTTCTGCCGGTATTTTTTGTTCTGCTGAAGCGACACTTAGTAATATATGTAATTGTCACCCGCGTGTTCGTCTAGTATCATTGTAGTCGAATACTCGCGCGTTTCTCGCGTTTCTCGCGTTTCTCTGGAGTGTACAGAACTACAACACACCCACTTATACCTTCACACATATCGTTGCCCGTGTCTTTCACCTACTTATACATACACACCTTTATCTATATCTTTACTTATATACCTTTTTATGCACCTATACCCATATCTTCACTTGTATCTTTCACCTACTGATACCTTTACCTATACCTTTACTTATACCTTCCACCCACTTATACCATAGTTTATCTCTTCACTTATACCGTTCACTCACTTCTACCTTTACTTATATCTTCACCTATACCTTTCCCCCACTTCTACCTTTCTGATCCTTCCCTCCCTACCGGTATGCGTAATCCATCCATCACACGCACGTGTGAGTGTAGACGCGCAAGACACCCCCAGACTCTACGCCACTTCAGACCCAGTGTCCGAAGTCGAGAGCTTCAAGGCTATGTCCCTACTGGCCGATGACAAGGCACAGAACAAACCCAGCAAACCCAACAAACCCAACAAACTCACCCCCGTGAAGAAAACCCCGGCCAAGACAAACACACTGTTCAACTACGTCAGCGCGGCCGAAGACTTCACCTCAATGGAACGCCCGGCAAAACCATCCGCACAATCATCCGCACAACCACAGGTACAGCGCAGCATGTTAGGTACGTAGGGGTGGTGTGTGGCTGTGAGATGGGATTACGGTGTGTGGCTATGAGAAAGAGTCTTACCAGTAGGCGTGATACACATATATACACCGCACCGCAATGCTACACACATACCCGCATGGGTATTTTGGAACATTTGTTGGGCCACACACGCGCCTTACTTGGACTATTTCAGACTTTAACTACTCAACTATCATGAATACGCATTGTTCGGCACTTGCACACTTTAACACCTTAAACCCTATAACCATATAATCCTAAAACCCTGAAACCTCAAAACAGGTACGTATGATGTGTTTAGGCAGAGCACCGGGTACACAGCGCCCAAGAAAGTACCCGCCAAAAAAAAGGACAGGTATCTGGATATGCTGAAAAACCGCAAACCAACCGAAAACCATTATAAAAATAGCACACTCGGGAGTACTACCGGTGCGGACTCTCTGGGGTCGCACAGGTAGGCCGACTGATACATTCACAATGCTTTGTACATTTTTGCTCCAACTAATGTCGATGTTGTATATGATTTATCGGCCTTTTTGTACCGAGCCTCCCGTGTCGAGTATACCTATGAATCTACTACGTTGGGTATACCTATGAGTCTAATACGTTGGTATACTTATGAGTCAATTACGTTGGGTATACCTATATGTCTATTGCGCTGGGTATACTTTTGAGTCTAATACGTTGGGTATACCTATGAGTCTTAATCGTTGGATATACCTGAGTCTAATACGTTGGGTATACCTATGAGTCTAATACGTTGGGTATACCTATGAGTCTAATACGTTGGGTATACCTATGAGTCTGATGCGTTAGGGATACCTATGAGTCTCATACGTTGGGTATACCTATGAGTATTACGTTGGGTATGCATATGAGTCTAGTACGCTGGGTATACCTACGAGTTTAATACGTTGGGTATACCTACGAGTCTAATACGTTGGGTATACTTATGAGTTTAATACGTTGGGTATACCTACGAGTCTAATACGTTGGGTATACCTATGATGGGTATACCTATGATTTGAGTCTAATACTTTGGGTACACCTGTGCGTCTAATACGTTGGGTATATCTACAAGTCTAGTACGTTGGTGGACTATCTTCGCTAGCGAGGGTCTGAGTTGTCGACGTGGCAGTGAAAGTTAAAAGATAAATCCTTCCAGCATTGTTTGAGAACATATTTATTCGTTTTTCATTTGGCTTACACTAGTGACGCGTGCCACTAATGACGTGTCATAGATAACAATCCTCCCAACAGTAGCAGACAATCAATAGACTGCTTTACCATATACCTTACACTGATGTCACGTGTCATGAACAACAATCCTCCCAACAGTAACAGACAATCAATAGACTACTTTACCATATGTCTTACACTGATGTCACGTGTCATGAACAACAATCCTCCCAACAGTAGCAGACAATCAATCGACTACTTTACCATATGCTTTACACCAATATCATGTGTCATTTCTTCACCCTCAGAATGTTCGGTACCTCTGCGTTCAGTGCGCCCTCCAATCGGTCCACCACAAAGTCCCACACGTCGCTGCCGCACATGTTTGCTGACTTTGGCTCGGAACCGGATTCGTAAGTGGCCTGAGAATGCAGGAAAACGTATTTGTCATGGAAACTTGGTTGTAAAGAAACCGAAATTGAATTGAAAACGTATTGGTAATGTGAGCGTGAGTGTAGTGAAAACGTATCCGCAATACAAATGTATTTGTAACATATATGCAGCTGAGTGATCCAGTAATTCAGCATTGTCTAAAGTAGCCGACAACGACGAGTGCGCATCACTTGATGTACATGGTATGGTTCATGCAGCTGAGTGGTTCAGTAATTGAGTATTGGTTAAAGTAGCCGACAACAAGTACACATGAGTGACTACACATGAGTGACGACACATGAGTGCACATCACTTGATGTACATGGCATGGTTCACGCAGCTGAGTGGTTCAGTAATTAAGTATTGGTTAAAGTAGCCGACAACAACTACACGTGAGTGACTACACTCGAGTGCACATCACTTGATGTACATGGTATGGTTCTCAGAATAAAAGTGTTCCTGCATAAGTCTGTAGCCGCCAGTGTATGGAGTGTCTGTTGGTGACCACCGTGTTTCTGTTGTGGTGTTTGATTGCCTGTGCGGAACTATACTGTTGATAGTGTACCGTTAGAAAGTAAACACTCCAAACCATTTGCTGGGTTGTCATGGTCACTATTCTAAACAGACTATGATGTGTTGCGATGTTTCCTGTCCATCCGCGCATATACACACACAAACTAACATGTACCACCCACCCATGCACACACAGACTAGCATGTACCACCCACCCATGCACACACCCTCTCCTGATCATACACAATAGAGATGATCAACCGGTGATGCGCCCGGCCCCATTGTCCGAGGTGAGCTGTGCACCCAAATCTTCGTTGAGGGCCGTCCGCCTCAATGCGCAAAAGGCCAAACAAACTGTCCCAACCGGTCCCATCCCCACCTTCACGGCGGGTGCGGCCAAG